ATTTATCAAAAAAGATATCTATAAATTTCTGTTGGCCTGCTATGCGCGTAACATTTTAACAAAAATATAAAAAATCGCATAATTTATGCAAGAACCCAACATTTTTAATACCTTGCAAAGATTGTAAACGACAAGTCGTAAACTTATTTAAATTACCTCGCATTATACATACTTCGCATGCAATTTTATGGCAAAGAGGCCGTGATTACCGATTATGTCACCTTCGTAACTCCTGCGAACGGAAACCGTACGACGCAGAAATTGTTTCGCGTTTCATTTCAACTAGAATCTAATGAATCGACCAGTTTTATTAATAATTGTAGGCCGGCTTTATTGAGTGAACGCACAACGTTGTAAGTCCGTCTCTTGCCGTACCCACTTGCTACTTTATTGCCTACATTGTCAATTATTGCGTTTTGTTCATATAATTAATGTTACTCTCTACTAGAAACGTTCAGCATATAAGATAACCGTTTATTTGTGTATATTTTCAGAACGGGTTTGAATAGATTTACAACTGAATTGACGACACCACTGACCTTCTCCGTGTCACCAATTTCTATTATTGGTTTAGCTTTTACTAATGGACATTCTTTGCTGGCAGAGTTCGGCAACGGAGAGGAAATTTCAATTATTATATTTAAATCTCCTGACATAATTTAATCGTAAATGCTGTATTTCACCTTGTAAACCCCGCCACATTAATTAAACATAAATTTTTGTTACGGTGAATCAAGTGTATTATGTGTTTTTATTATTAGTTTACTGGAGAGAACATAGTAGAATAGTTATAGTCTCTAGATATTAGAAGAAAACTGTGGAAAATGAATGTTAATATCTTAGAGAATAAAGATTATTATTATTATAATTCTTGGATACATTTTTATAGATACCATATCGGCACTCTACTCGGTTTTTAAGTAGTTTAACAGTAATAATAATACAATTTTTAAATAAAACTTTCATTTTGTTATAATTTTCTATTTTCTTATTTCCTTTTATTCCAGAATGCTTTACTACAGATCCGTTTCCAATATTCTCGTTAATTTTCTTTAACTTTTGTTGTCTATTTATCTCTTGCGTTTGTATAATAATACCGATTAATCATTTCATAATCATAATCATGTTTCAGTTCTTCCTAGCTGGTGCGTTCCTCGAAAAATTAAATTTCTTTAAATATCATAAACTGATCAAAAGTAATATTAATAAGTTTCGAATAATAAAATAAATAATAAAAAATGGGTTGTAACTTACAGTGGGATGTTAACCTTAGGTATATAAGGAGAGGTTGTCCTCTCCTTAGTGTCGTCTATTTGACCGGAACATACCAGAGGGTGATTGGCGATATTTGTTTGTCGGACATAGTTCAGGTTTTATACAGGATACATAGTTTTTAATTTCGTGAATTGTCTATTAGTATTATGAATATCATTTATACGCTGATGTAATATCTCTCCAAACATTTTTATTTATTTATTTCCTCTTTAACCAATTTACAAAATTTTTACTTTCATTCTTTAAATCAATATAACCAACTCTGTTGCCATGTTTTTCATAAATTTCCATATAATTGCGAAGTTACCTTTATATTTGACTTATTTCTAATTTTACACTATTATTATTAATAAAATGGTGTTTTGTTAAAATCAAAAATTATGGAATTATGGTTTACGATAAATGTGTTGAACACATATATTAACAATAATAAAATAATTAAATTTATTTTTACTTTTGCAAATATGATGAAAATAACTGCTATTATCTTTAATTTGTAGGTTGTATTAAAATAGGTATCACCCATTTTTGCCAATATCGCAAAAACAAGTGAAATAAAATATAAAGTATGTAATATAAATGTAATCACTGACCTTGCCCCGGGCGAGTCTCGTCAATTTTCTTATTTTTAATTTGCTTTGTGAGTAATAATTTTAATTCTTTCTTTCTTTTTAAAAAAAATGAATTTCTAAAATTAATTATTTTTGCCATTATTATTAATTTTAATAACAAACTATACATCTTTAACGGACTTAAATAATAAAAATTTTATATACCGGGTTATTCACGCTATACGACAAGGAATATGGTGGCTAAAGTACAAGGTATTTAAAAAAATTGGATATGGCTACTTTTTATAGTTACTTTCAGTGGCTTAAAAAAATATTCTATTCTGATAAGAATTTTAGGTGACTGCAATTTAATTGGTTTAGATGGAACATCATATGTTTTACCTTAACAGAGAATATTAATATTTTAGTAATATGTAATAAGTAATATTAATTAATGCTTTGTTTTCAAAAATCGTAGAATGCATGTGTAGAGTTATGTAGAATATAGGTGTCGTATCATAATCCGAATTGGCATAAGTGAAAAATTTGGCAAGGCTTAATTTTATATTTCTACTTTCAACTAGTTTCCCAGAAACTTCCAAGGGACCTTTATGAAAATGCACCAAGAGAAAGTGGATCGTTTTTTTTTAAGTGTCCATGTTAGTGTGACTATTATCATCATGTCTAAGAACCAATACCTTTTTCCGGAAAATTATACAATAGGTAATAATTACATTTATGTATTAAAATAGTGCAGCTTTTCTAATTTAGCACGTTTTATTGCAGGATGCAAGATTACCGTTCTAATAAAATTTAGAATATATTTTAGTTTGTTTTTGTCCTCACTGCAGAGTGCGTGCTTTAAAAATCTTATCATTCTTTGATTTTGGTCCAAAATGTAAAACCGACTTATAAAATTGTTTTATAAGATTTAGAAAGTACACAAAAAAAATTTTATGTTTAAATTCAACTTTCGAGATAAGAGGATATAATATGATATTACTGGCTTAAAAAACCTTTATTCGCGCACAATAACATATCGTATTTGCTGTACGGTTCTTGTTGGTAAAAGCTAATTAAATAGATTTAAATTAATCAGAGTTAATTAGTCGGCAGCTGCATGGAAATGTTGACATCTTTTCCCCATAATAAGCGTCCTTCTGGTTACGTGTGTGTCCGAGGCAGGTCGAGAGCTGTTGTTAAATTTCCATGCATTAAAACTTGGAAGAAGGATGACCCATAAAATCTTTGTTATGGCCGCGTTGTAAATCAAACAACGGCTGTAATATGTTCCTTCGTAAATTCTACTTTGCGCGCTGTTCCCCCGCTTGAGACAAGCGCGCGTTTTTTCTTGCTTTCGCAAGATGGCGGGTAATTACTACCAAATAACGGCCGGTAAGGCACCATGTTTTACAAACTAGAAAATATTCTATACTGAATTAACTCTTAACTTAAATCTTAAAAACTTTCCTTGTTGGGTGTAATTAAAGACCAGGTTGGAAACTAACATAGTGGAAGAGAGTATGTATATCACATGAATAAGATCCATTTATCAAAATAGTATTATTATTATTTCCATTTCTTCCAGGGGTAAAGCGCGAATTATGGTTTAGCAACTATGAAGAAATCCATGCGGAATTTCGAAGAATTCGAGTGGAATTCCAAGAAATTTAAGCATGAAATCACATTTTTTGTTTCTATATATTTTTCTCAAAAAGTGTCACGATTTTTTAGCCGTAGTATTTTGAAGTTTGTTAGTTCTAACGGTCATGTCATACATCACCAAGTAATTATCCAATTATGCACTGATCACGTATACGCAAAATGTCACTTTCAAACGTCAGCTTGATTAAACAGTGTCGCTAGCCAATTGAGCGTTCGCTCAGACGAAGGTACGTTTCAAATTGGATTGTGGTTAAGCAGTAGTTTTTTTTACTTTTCTTTGGAATACCAAAATTCATTCACACTTTTAAATATCGGTTTGTTTTAATCGCAACGACCCTTCTATATCAAAAATATTTGACTAATAGGTCAGGCCGCTTTGGGCGGCAGGGCTGTTTCGATTCTTTCGTGGATTGGTTTTATGTGGTTTGTGTTGAGATGTTTAATCAATACGACTAAATATTTTTTAATTTGTGAACACCTACATACATATATATATATATATATATATATATATATATATATATATATATATATATATATATATATATATATATATATATATATATATATATATATATATATATATATATATATATATATATATATAAGATGACACTATATTCCGGGATATCATCTCCGACTGGAATCCTGCAGACGTTTCGCCAAAATATCACTTCGCATCTTCAGAGGCCGCGCGTCCATGTCACTCGTACGTGTCCGCACGAGTTTAAGTGCGGATACGGAATTTGCTTTTTGTCACTTTCCATATATTTTATCGAATATTTGTTTAATTTGAAATAAGAAAGGATTATATCACAGAAAAAAACACTAACCAACCTATTGCTTTTGCTGGGGGCCATATTGTCCGATTTTTAAACCATACCAGTTCACTTAGCAATAGGCCTAACAAACTCGTACTAAAAACTAAAGTTATAGGGCCCATATTGTCATGTGTGTGGTGGTAGGGATCTAGTGCATCTAGTATTCAAATAATTTTTAGAATTCCTATGATAGTGATGCAACTTGAAACTTACCTAGTTGGAGCTTACAAAATAAATAATTGACAAACGTTAACATTCAAGCCGTGGATAATATCTCCGAAAACACCCGATTGCTCCCAAACCTGTGGATAATATTCCGGAAGTATCCGAAGTGACTCGCAGCCGTAGGTAACGAAACTGGTTTCGTAAAATGACACTTTGCGCAGTCTTTGATTCATGTATAATTGGATATTTTAGAGAAGGGAGCAGAAACATTTTTTTATGTGTTCTATAGAACGAATTTTACGCAAATTAGATGCCATGACATTATATCCAAAATGCCAGTTCAGTTTAGCAGTGGAGCTTAAGCAGATTTACTAATATTTTTGGTTAGTTCAAAATTTTCACCTGTTACCACAAAAAAGTATTGCTTTTGTATAAGAGATTTACTGCAGAATTATTGGTTAGTTTTTTACTTTGTAGTAATTGATTGCTATTACTAATACTGACATATTTTCATTTGTTTCAGGTGGCCAGCCATGTACGTTTCTACCTTAAAAACACACCGAATTATTAATTTAGTATGAACCTTTTGTGATAAGTTCAAATGTTCCAACGCCGTCGTATGGTAAAACATTCGTCCTATTGGTCACAATAAAATTAATTTAATTTTTGCTCAATAAATGCCAAATCAGCAGGACCAGATGCAATGCAGTGTAATGTGTAAGCAAAAAACTCAACGCACGATACTAAAATATTGCTGGGACCTATCAAATGTTTTCCGGTAAGTTTCTGTATCCTGCCTAAAAGATCACCCATAAATGATATAAAATGTAGACTGTAATTTATGCGTCTAATGGATCGAAAAGTGGAAAATGTCAAATTTATACATAATTGACTGATATCAATAAACTGGGAACCTTTTATAAAAATCCATATATGAAAAAATATATTTATTATAACATAACGGATCATAACACAGAGTGCATTATTTCTTAAATCTTGTGCTTTTGGCAAATTTTTTTTTTGGCGCTTTGTTCTAGACATATATATATTTTACATTCAATTAAATGCGAAAGTCATGCAGGTTTTCACTTTGATTTCACAAACTGATTATAACAATTTTCGCTAGTACTTAATACGAAGTCAGTGATTGCAAGAATGCCCGTCCACAACAGACAAGAGTTTTTGTATTTTTAAGAACTAGCGTTCCAAGAGGAATTTCAGACACTAAGGTAGCTGCAATAATTACGATCTCTCATGAAACAGTAAGTCTGCGGTACAAAACTACCCCATCTGTTCCTCTTTCTTAGTTCCAAATGTAACGTTCATATGTAACATTTCATCTATTAATCTTTGAAAGATATCAGACGGTCGATGGCGACATTTTCTTTTTAATATGTTACTAGGTTTACTGTAATATATTTTAAAGTACTTTATAACCTTCATCAAAATTTATGAAAAATGTTTAACTCATATATTTCTAAATGTTTTGAAGGAAATATTAGAAATAAGAAAAAAAATCTACAACAATTTTACATGGTGTCCAATTGACCGCATTTCTACCTTTTTTTCAATGATTTATGGGTGACGCATAGGTAGAATGCAAAATATAAGTAAAACCTTATATCTAAATCTACCGTATACAAAAGAAAAAGTTTACAAATGGATAAGTAGAACAGTATATCTCATATTTAAGCGAAATGCATCTGGTAATGCCGAAATAGTAATCAGTGTTAGAGGTCGCAAAATAATTTGATTTATATTTGGGTATGTTAAAGGACAGTGTCAAATTTATATCGCATTCGTGGTAATACTTATTCGTTGATGAACGAAGATCGATTGTACGCACAAGACATTGTGACGTAAATTTAAATCAAGTTTTATTGCCACAATCGTATTTGAGTTTAATATAATCTGTTTTCTTTTCACAAAATTTAGCTTCATTTTTCTGTCAGAATTACGTTAAAGACCGAGCAAAGGAGGCAACCTTTTGTCTAATAACTAAGAATCGGCTACTTATTATAACCTTTTTTTTTTCCTAATTATTTCTAATTTAAAAATTAAACCCTTCAGTTTTCCCTTATTAGAAAACAAATAAACATTTTGTTTACGGGAGATTCGTGTTGATTTTTTACTACCGTCTGTGACTTTGAACTTACATATTACAAAGTGGTGTGATACTACTATTCGAACTTTTTTAGTGACCTTTGGATATTTCCTGAAGATGTGTTTACGATTCTTGTCCTCCTTTTTCTCCTTTTCCTGTCCCTCTAGGGCGCTGCTAAATTTTGCCCAACTATTGATTGCGTGATTATGAAGACGGGAATCAGAGTATCAATTAAAAAAAATCGTAAATATATCATATTTGCGCAGCTTTTGATAAAATATATGTTAGTAAGGGGCTTCAATCCAATTAGAATTATTACCGTAACCAATATTTGTGTCTTATTTTCTCTCCTTTAAGAAATTGGCAGTTAGCAATAGGAAATATTATATTGTCTGTTGAGCATTTTTGCATCTCTTAATGTAAAACTTTTTTTAAATGCTTGAATCTACTTTTAATTACTAAGAAACGTTTGGAAAAAAGTCAGTGGCGCACTCTATAAGTATCTAAATAAAACTGCAAGAAACTGCTGATTTATCAAAAGCGAAATTAAAGAGTCAGTGGCGTTCTCTGTATGTCGAAAACGGCATTTCCGGTTCAATACGGTTGTCCTCCATAAAGCAACAAGTGATATTGTACAAATCAGAAAAAGATTTGTTTGTTTGTTTTGCAAATTTGGGTCGTTGAAAAGGTTCAGAAAGTTCAAAATTTTATTTTACTAGCTTTTCAGAATGTGAGGTTTTGGTATTAGCTTGTTCCTTGAACCTACGTAGTAGAAGTTGATAGTATTGGTTAATATCTCAAGCCGGTTGCCATAAATGTTAGGATGACAACTGTAATTGCTATTCATCTTATCTGTTAATTGCATTTAGCATATTTTTAGCAACCAACATTTGCGAAAATATTTATTGAACAAATCTTCCTATTCTGATTCTGATCCGCTTTTGGGCCAAATTTATCGACTACATTAAGTTTCAAAACTTGCTTTGAAAAAATCAGGTACTCATGGTAAACACCATTTTCACTAATGTAATGCAACTCCTATTATTATTTCAAATATGTTATGTTCAAAATCATTTTTTTTTCCAAAATTTTATTTTATTGAATTTGCAGATAACGTAAATGCCGAATAAGATTAAAAAAAAATATATACGCATATATTATTTACGTTCAATGATTTATGAGTGACTCGGTTAAGTTTTGACAGATGATGCTGCGACTACATAATTTGGTCAGTTTTTATTCCTATGTTTTCTTATTTAGAGTATTTTAGAAAATAGATTATTTTAAACATAGCATGTAATACAACAATGTAAAGAAAGTCCAACAAGGAAGCTATCGTCCAATTAACAGAGTTTTTGCTATATTTTAAATTATAAATAGGTACAACAAAAGAATTGTACGAACTTAAAGTGACATACTTTTTGTACAAATGTTTTTATGCTTAGGAACATCTTTAAAATATATATTTATAATATTGTGATTTCAGGGCCTAACACAGTCCTCACAGGCAAGTGATATTAATTGTACATATAGTGAAACAAGAACGAATTAATTAATAAGGTTGTACGATTGTTAAAGGATTTACTAGCCATCTTGATGATATTCCCTTAGCTTAACTTCAGATTAGTACGTGCCGTAGAAAATTGGCGATCCGCCTTTATAATGCTAAAGTATGAAAAAATATATTCCCTGCATTTTTTCACCAAGCAAAAAATAATAAACTTATATAAAAATACAGCTTTATTCGTCGTTGGTCGGGTGTTTTTACGCCAGTAATTGGCAATTACATATTATTAATTAACAATGTTTTTTTGATACTTCAATTTGGACAGGTTTTCGAAAAACGAAGCTACTTATAGTTGAAACTAATCCTCCATTAAATAAAACAATTCAAACTTTATTAATGTGCTGTACAGGGCGATCTAACCAAGATTATGAGAAGCATTGAGCCTGAATGGGCTAGCAAACTGTTTATATATGTGGTTGATAGTTTTATTAGGTCAGTGAGATTCAGAAACTAATAGCTGTTCAAATTTTTATTTTTTTTAAATGAGTCACTTATAACTGAAAAATAGTCGTAAATCTATTAAAGTGTGCAAAGTAGTTTTTATCCTAAAGTTTTGGAGCATTAAAACAAATTACACTAATTGTGTCGCGTCGTTAATGTAGTAGTCATTTTATAAAGATAAACAATATAATAACAACACCTTCAATATAAGCGGAAAACTTACTGGAATAATTAAAGATTCACAAATTATTTATCAGATTTAATAAAAAATCATGGAGAAGAGAAGAGAACTTTTAAAAATAATTAGAATACTCTTTTATTGATTTTATTTCCTCAGGTTAAGGCTACATTTTTTTGTCATATTAAATATAAACATATATGGTTCAAAGTTATGTTTTACCTCCACCCCCGAAAACCGGCAACTATTCAAGTGTGACTCAATGACGTCATTGAGAAATGGCTAGATTTTTCAGCATGATAGTTAAAGTAAAGAACTATAAAATCTTTCATAGATTATGGAGGTTATGGCCTTTTCGGTCTTTTTTTGGGTTTTTCGTGTGGATTTGAAGTCTATTAAAATAAATGGCAATATTATATATTTGCGAGAATTCCCATTAACGACCGCAACATTAGTTTTATTGCCCAAAATTACTATAATAGATAAACTAAACCATATTCTACCAAGCGGGCCGTGATTGGTGTGACGTTTGGTTGCTTGAACAATATTGACAACGTGAGAGAAGTATTCACTGATTTAAAAAATGCTTTTTAAGAAAAAACAATATAAAATTTTCTGTTTATGATTGGTGTTAATTATGCAAAACTGAAACAGACACTATGGCTCAGAGTTTTTTATGTAAGATAAGGCAAACTGCCTCCTAAAATCAATACTCAATGTAGAGTTGACTAATCCGCCGTATCGCCGATTTTTGCAGGGAATATTGTGTAAAAAATTTAAAAACTTGAACCTCGCGCTCATTTATGGCTAAAAGGGTAAGACAGTTTTCTACGAATCTGAGTTAGTAAAAGTTTCGGATTTACTATACAACTTAAAAAATATTTTTGTGGATGTTGTACAATTTGGTGATTTATCGTCGTCTACAGACAAATTGTAGCAAAATGTAGTTTCTACATATTTCAGCAATACATGTTCAAAAATTATATATATGCTAAGTAGATATAATCAAAAAATATGATTTATATACTTTTTGGGGTTCTCATTCGAGAGCATCAATGTATAAACTAAATGTTATTGGTCATAGCAACTATTATCCATACACATTTGTTTTCTTTTATTTTAGGTTTTCTTTTGTTTGTCCTGTTGTGAGACGGAATGACTAAAAAATGATTTAAAAACTAATATTCTCGCTCGTTATTGACGATTATATTTCAATGGACCCAGTCTGTAGCACAAGCCGAATTTTCAAAATAATATAATTTTTACGATATCGTAGGTACCAAGAGGACAAAACGCTTGAGTAATAAATAATATGAAACTGCTAAATTACCACTTATTTACTAACTTCCTGCTTTTCCGGCCCTTACTGGAGCAAATGTTTTTAATCCAGTAGTTGGAAGTAAAACATTTTAAAACATGGATAGTCCAAGAAAATATGCGATAGCCAATTTCTATGAATTCATGCCGACTTTCTTACCAAGGACCTTGCTAAAAACCAAGATGAATTTGGCTATAACCATGGCATCGTTGCCAAAAGTTTTAGGTTACCTTTTATCATACTATTAAGAGTCTTATTCCGTCTTAAAAGATAGACTGAGAACGCGAAATTGAACATTGGTGCTTGCGTTATTTAATTGCATTATCTTGCTACCTATTTTTTTTCAATATTATATATCGTAAGTCTTATGAATGCCTTAAAACAATTTTATGTTTTTACAAATCTGACGCAAACATTATCGTTGTCTCCAAAGTAAACTAGCTCAGTATAAAGATTGTTTTTATTTTGTTAATTGAAAGGTCGGTAATACCATTGCGACTAGATGACTAAGTTTTTATTACTATTAATTATTGTTTCAATACATGTGTAGTGTTGATAGGTATTTATATATCTCTAGTTATTATTCGCTAGAAGTTAAATGATAATGTATTACAAAAGTAATTACCGGTGAAGTTGTATGTTGCATAAGTATAAGGTAATAAAATTACATATGTTGAGATATTTAATTTTGTTTTAATTGTGTTTCCCTTTTCTGACTTCAGCTTTAAGTTCACAAGAGCGCCTAGATTTAATATTTGAATTTGAAGGCTGTGAATAGCTATTAATTATTGATAATTAAATAAAATGTTACGGACATTTCGGTCTGTTTTTTAGGATCCTTTTACCCTTTTTCTAAGTTCTGCAAGCGTATTTATGATATAGAATTTTGAAGGGACATCCTGGCAGTCTTTATCCTGAGAGGTTTTAAATCCGGTGTTATTGGGGCTAATAATCTTTGTGAGCTCATTCTACCAACAACCTGGTTCCCACTCTCTGTCTTCTGAATGTTACAAAGCTCTCTTATTTGACCATTCCGCACTGTGCAAAGCAATGTTTTCCCTGATATTGTTTCATCATCATCATGTTTGTTTCCATTATATCTGCTCTTGTCTCGTTAGAATATGTCATAATTCACATGATTTATATATTCGGATTTTTCAGTCAGATGTTTATTTTCCTATCTGACATCTCGTAAGCTCCCCGATATATAAGCGGATTTGTTGACTTGCGTACCTTTGCTTTTAGGTCACCATGACTAGAAACTTCCGTAACATGATATTCAAACTTTGGCACTTACTTAATCATTCCGTCGTTTATTACAATTTTAAGTCTTTTAATTTTCCTTGAGAAAACTACCGATTTAGTTTTAGCTCTTAATACTTATACTCTTCTGCGCCTTCGTTGACCTTCAAGATTGCGTCGTCTGCATAACACACAATTTTTATCGTAATTCAAATTTTAAAATGGTCTAGGGTAGATTACATTTTTATTTTTTTGATTGTCATTGATCAGCACTTCTAGCACTACTTACGGCAGTAGTACTTCAAAGACAATAATCTGCCAAACATTTTAATAGATGTTATTAGCTATTACTGGCAAAATGCAATGCATGAATTAAATATCATTTTCAAAACTTAGATGAAAAACTTTCAAGAGCTACGACATATGCTTTTTCATCTTGAGTCTCCGATAAACTATGTATATAGGTTTTTGAGGTTAATCACGTACGTTCTTCGGCCATCAGTTTTACTTTTTGCCTTCCTTACCTTCCATCTTGCCTTCGATTGTCAGTCGTAATAAACCATATTCATTACTTAGTTATGACACTATTCTTCTCTTCAACACAACCATATCTCAGAAACTTTAATTTGAGTCCAGCTTTCCATATATACTGTGTGACAGAATACTACACAAAATATTTTGGGAAGTAGTTGGGATATTTGTCAATAATTATCGCTGAAATTTTGAAACAAATTTGCCCACGTATGTTTTGACGTTCTGCAACTCTTCGTGAGATGCTGCGAATCCGATGACTGATATCTATCTGTGAGGCTTCCAGGGTAATCGTGTTATATTTCTATCAATAATTATAATTTTGTTGTGTCGCCATCTATGTTCGCACATTGCTGAATAGTTGAACGAAACGGTTGTTTTTTTTTACGTGCAATATGTTATGGGGCCAGAGCCATGAAAAACCTAAAAAAGTTAAAATTCACAGTTTAAATGTGATGTCCCCAATTACCTTGCAATTGTCCCTAAGCTTCTAGGCTGGACAAATTATGATTTTCGGGCCTTTGCGTCAGAAAATTTTATCATAATAGAAAACCTAAACACGTGTCTAGAGCAAGGCGAGACGGATGCTACACAAATTGCCAAAGCCAGAGCAAAGCTGACTTTGACGGTAGACACTACAACGGCCAAAGACTTTATGGGATCAGTTAAAATCCCTATTCAGGATTTACCAGGGGCATAAGTTTGTTGCGGAGTCTCATCTCTAAAACTAAGTTATCGGACTTGGAGTCGAAAGTCGGTAAAACAGGTAGTGCTTTTGCAAGTCAAATTTAAAAGAAGAAGAGAGAGGTTGGTAAAAATGGCAATAGGTCAAATTTTCCCAACGAAAATAAAGTTATTCTTGATCAGTATATAAGATGTTATTGTTTTAAACTGTCTTACATTCCGTGATAATAAATGCAGTATGTTTTTAAAACCTTTTATGAGGATTCTAATTACCGATTTTTCAAACTCCAGATTAACGCCATTTTCTTCAACTGTTTTTACGCGCCACTTGTTTGTAGTGGTTTCTTGGTAACAATGCGCACTAGATCTCACAATGGTTGCGTATAACAACAAAGATCAGACTTAACTTTTTTTCTCTTTAAACACAATTTTACCTAAAACGTCAATTTCAGGTGATGGTACATCATTGTTGTCGACATCTGGTACATATTGATTTTCAAAGTCAAAATCACTATTCTATAATGGATTGTATTCATTTAAATAACTTTTTAAATCAAATCTATTTCTAATAACAAGATTTCCACTATTATCTAGCACACTGTATGATCTAGGATTCTATGCGACGTTAACAATTTTACCAGACTCTCACGAATTATTATTGTAGTTATAAACCGATACATTTTGATTAGGCTCCAAGGGCTTTAAATCCTTAGCTGTTTTATTATAATGAAGTTTATTTCTGTCCTGTTGGGATATGAGTTTTTGTTTAACACCATCACACAATCTTGGTTTTAATAACTCGACTAACACAGGTAACTTGGTTTCACACATCTGATTCATGACTAATTAGGGGAATAATTAACAAATTTTAGAGAAGTAATCCTGCATTGCATTAAACTTTCAAATATATCTTTGCACTCTTCCGACGCTTTTTTAGCCTTTTTTTACTAATGTCGACGGCCTTTTCTGTCAGGCCATTAGGATAATGAGGACTACGACAAATTACATTAAAATTCCGTTCATGAGCGAAATTTTTTAAACTATAGCTGTTAAATGAAACATTTTACTTTTTCAATGCCAAGGAGCCCTTCATGTAGTTTAACTAACATCTCATGTTTGAGTTGGTTAGGCACAACTAGTTTATAGCCGTCAAACAGTAATCCATCAGAAACTGATAATTCATCCCTAGATTTATAGAAGTGGTATAATTTACTGTGATCTGGCCATTCTGTTTGAACAAAATTAATAATAGTTTGCAACTGGCTGGCTATCTTGTCGTGTGACTTTTTTGAAAATTTATTTTTGCTCATCGGACAATCTTTAGAAAATTCAGTGTTTAAATCAGGTTCTGTTAAAAAAGCTCTGGACAAAGTATCTGCTATATACAAATATTTACCTGGTATATATGCGACTTGAAGGTCATATTCTAATAATCGAAGCAGCTGAAGTCGCGATGGTGCTGACTGAAGACTTTTCTTATATATTGCTTCTAACGGTTTGTGATCCGAATGAACCTGTATATCTTTGACATTATAAAGAAAATATTGAAACTTTCGACAGCTAAATAAAATTACCAAAAATGACAAAATTGGAGCTTTGTAAATGTTTGAGTTGCTCTAAGGATACATCATCTTCAGTTGTCCACACAAATTGAATATCATTACAGGTCAAATTTCGTAGCGGAGCCACCTTCGACATATTTGGTATCAACTTGCCTAAAAATGTTGACATTCCCAGTAGTCTTAAAAGATCTGTCTTATTTTGAGGTAGAGGCATATGCGATTTACATGGTTTAAGCCCATCTTTTGAGAATACTTGACCAAAAAACTTAATGTCACTTGACGTAAATTGAATGTTGTCCCTATTAAATTTGATGTTATATTTCGAGGCTCGCTCTAATACCATTTTTAAATTATCATATTCAGTTTCGGAATTTCCACTTATAATCAGATCATCAGAATACGTATCTACTCCCTGTAACTTACCAAAAAGCTTCAAAATTCTTTTTCTGAAATACTGGGGGGCAGAGACTATTGCTGCCGCTCATTTAGTTGATAATGTATATACATAGGTCCAGTAACATAGAAAGATGTTGTTTAGTCACTGCTGAAAAATGGCACTGAAGACATGGACATATAAATTTTGCTAACTTGAAGAAAATGATTAATGAACATAAACATTGTACATTCAGAATAAAATGTCGCAACCGACTCAGCCTCCGGCTTATCATATTGGGTACATTTTCAATATGGATGATAAGGCTGGTGACAGCGTGCGCCACGGATATATCAGCTTGTCAGAGGAAGTTTCTACTAACTGTCGCGGTAGGTAGTCCGGCATTATACTGCCGGATCTTGCAGTTCCGGAGGGAGGTTGTAATACATTATTAATACTACCACCCTGTAGTAAGCGTAGTTTCACATCCATGCTTCATTGATTAAATGATTCATTGCGATAGTATTCGAGGACTGCAATTTGTAGGCTTTAATTCTTCCCTAGTTACCCCGGTCTGGCTGAAGCAGGCTCTTAGTGCGTATTTCGCGTGACGTATATGGCGTCCATGTATGGACCTGTTGTATCCCAGTCATGTTCAACATGTGATAAATCTCGTGACCTTGTGCGCCAGGAGGGTTATTATCTTATTGGAGCATGTTTCAGTAACTGGAGCGAAAAATTGGATCTTGCTGTTTCTAAAGTAGAGCAACGCAAAAGATAATAACACGTTAATGAGCGTTCATGGTTCTATTCAAAACATTTAGGTGACTTGCTACCAATTGAGACGACACCATAAACCATAACCCTTTAGTATCGATCTCATAGATATCTATCGACTGTTAGTTACCACGGTTTTTGCTGAAACAGGCTTTAAGCACACTGAGTCTTAAAAGTCGTATTTCGCAATCACTGGTCATCGTAAAGCTCTAGTGCGAACACTGTTCAACAATGCATTACTTGCTTTCATCAAACGTTGTAGTTTAGAAGTCCATAATGTTGTCATCTGTTAAACTTCTCTACTGTGCACTTGTTTGCCTTCATTTTAAGTTTGAGTGCTCTGTTTCCTCACCCTAACATAAAATGCGTATTCAGATTATAGAAAGTACACAAATTTCTAAGTTACAAGTTAAATATCCAGGGGAATAAATATCGGCGCCTTGAATATTAGGACTCTGGGAACTCTTCG